GCCGGGCCCCGGCGAAGCCCCGGGGAGTCTGGCCCTGGGGATTCTCTCCTCACCCCGCCCCCTCCCAACCGTGTAGTTGCGTACTGCCTGGCTGGTAGACATGCTCATGCAGCGTGAGTGTGTCTACCAGCCAGGCAGTACACAATTACGTACTGATACTCACGATGATAATAATAAAACTTACTTAATTAGAAAATACCAGACATTTCTAGGTCTGGTATTTTAATTTGTTTCCTGGACAGAAAGCTCAAATACCAGACTGTCCGGTTCAACACCGGACACCTGGCAACCCTACTAATGTGCCCATTCATGAGCTAGTCTGTTCAGAGGTGGGTTTGGGGGAGTAGAAAGGGTTAAATTCAGAGGGCACGAGTCTCATTTCTACTGAGGCCCACGGCTCCCTGGAGACCAGCCTCACACAGCACTGCCCTGGTCACTTAGTTACAGCCTCTTTTCAAATGCCTTGGCCTGGGAGTGGGGGGGGACACTTCGTAAAAATGAGAACCAGGCACAAAGTGGCTTGTTGGAATGAGCTACCCCAGCTTCTGGCTCTGTTCTTCCTCACTGGTTCTGCGGGGTGGTGAACAGATACCAGGCTCCACCCCAGAGTTGGAAGCACGGAACACTAGGCCCTGGTCTACACTAGGGAGTATTTCAAAATACCCCCCCCCCCCATTTCAAAATAAGCAACTGAGCATCCACACTACCAAGTCCCGTTATTTCGAAATCCTACTCCTACTTTCCTTGAGGAATAAGCTTATTTCAAAATGGTTATTTCAATAGCTATTATTTCAAATTTAGTCATTTCAAAATAGTTTCCCAGTGTAGACATGACCATGGTCAGCGTTTTTTGAACTGTGCTCTGTGGTACACCGGTGTGCCGCGAGGCAGTCAAAATGGCCACTCTTAAAGGGGTAGACTACTTTTTTTTTTTCTTCTCCCTCAAAAAAAAAATTAGTGTTCCTCAAAAAAAAATTGTTTGGTGTTGCTCGGTCTTAAAAAGTTTAAAAAACACTGCCCATGGTGAATAATCCTTACAGGGCATGCTCTGTTCTTAGTCTTATACCCCACGCAGCAGCCAAGCCTCAGGAGGGAGCAGGGACAGTTTGGCTTTGCTTCCACCAGCATCTATCTGCTCTTTGCAGACAGTCCTGGAGATCATCCGGCCCAAACACATTCCCATCTCTTTATGGATCCTGATCGGCAGCATCATTGGAGGCCTCCTGTTACTGGCACTGATAATATGGGGTCTGTGGAAGGTAGGTGGCCGTGTAGAAATGCGGCTCAAACTTTGGTACAAGCCACTGCCAGGGCTGCACTGTGAGGGGAAGGAACTGTTTCCCTAGGGCTCGTTCCCTGAATGCAGCCGTTGCAGGACAGTGCCGATTTAAAGGTAAAGGTTTGAGTTTTCACCTCCCTCACAGCTGCTTTTGGGCCCCTTGTAGCAGCAGAGCAAGGTAGTTGGTGCATAAAGGGGCCTTCCGGCCTCAGATGCTCAGGGTTACACAGGGATACTTAGGAAAGTGAAAGCAAGTCAATTGAACCAGTAATGCCACAATAAATTCCATACCCTCCACCCCCCATTCAGAATTACAATGGCCTTACTTTGGTTGATCTTAAAACTAAGCTGCATTTCCAAAGTGCACTAAGATCACCCAAATGAAGAAACATTCATCTGAATTAATGACAGGTCATGATTTTTTTTTTTAAAGTGGACTAGTGACATGCCAGAAAATCCACAGGAACTGCCCAGGCTCACTTTAAAAACGCCCACCTGTTGTTAATTCGGATTCATGTTTCTGAGTGGTCACGTGTGGCCAAGTCCTTGAGGCTGTGAAGTCCCAGTCAGAGGATCGAGCTCGAGGTGAGCAATAAAGCAGTGGTGGGCCGCTGCTGCTATATTTACCTGCGTCTCCGCGGATACGGGCACTCGCAGCTCCCCTTGGTTGGGAACGGCGACCTGCGGCCAATAGGAGCTGTGATCTGCCACGACCCTGGCGGACCAGATGTAGCCCACAGGCCAGTATTTGCCCACCCCGATCAAGCTGGAAGGCGGTCAGGTAGTTGAGCGGAAGATCCAGCAGACGGCATGCTGGGAGTTTGACAACCCCACACTGCGTGCAGCTCTGCCACTACATGCAGCGAAGCTGCAGGTGCCGTGGAGGACTCTGGGATATCTTCCCTCAGTGGCCCCTGCCTTTAGCAGGGGGTGGACCACTGGATTCCAGGGGGTGGACCCAGGCAATGACACCTCAGGTTTATCAGCCTCTTTGGGCTGCCACTTGCTATCGCGCCCCTCCTTTCCTTTGGCTGCAGACAACACGTGTTGGTTTCCTGGAAAGAGGCAGAGCAGGGGGTCACACCCCTGGGATTGTTAGAATCATAGGGCTGGAAGAGACCTCAGGAAGTCATCAAGTCCAGCCCCCTGCCCAAGGCAGGACCAATCCCAACTCAATCAACCCAGCCAGGGCTTGGTCAACACCTCTAGGGATGGAGATTCCACCCCTTCCCTAGGGAACCCATCCCAGTGCTTCCCCACCCTCCTAGGGAAATAATTTTTCTTAATATCAACTGTTATTTGACTGTTTTATTTCCTAGCCCCACCGCTGGTCTATTATGGTACGAATATTCAGCACAGCATAGCTCAAATAAGCTACATAATTCAAGCTACACAAATTGCGTATTTTATTTCAAAAGAGACCTCTCTTCTGACAAGTCCCTTAATCCTCGTGGAACGAGGTTTACTGGGCCGTTATTTCAAACTATATTTGAAATAATGGGCTTGTTGCTAAGATGCAGAAAACGCTATTTCGGGCTACCAGATGTACCCTTCCAGACCTACAAGGCCTGATCACCATTGCGTGGGTTAAAATTAGGGCTGTCAATTGACCTGCATTAACATCTGCGATTAACGCTCCCCGTTGCAAAGCCCCTTTGAAGCGCCACTCCGGTGCTTCAAAGGGGCTTTGCAACAGCGGAGCCGGGGGGATCCCAGGCTCCTAATGCGCTCGCTGCCCCTTGGAAACGCCGCCCTGGTGCTTCCAAGGGGCAATGCTGCATGGAGCCTGGGGTCAGCGGGGGACTCCAGCTGATCCCAGGCTCCATGCAGCGCTGCCCTGTTGAAACACCATTGCAGCGTTTCAAAGGGGAGGCGCACGAGATTAATTTTTTCCAATCACGTGATTAATTGCGATTAAATTTTTTAATCGCTCGACCGTCCTAGTTAAAATTCATACTGAGCCATCAGTGTCCTCTCATCTCTGTCCCCCCTACAGCTTGGATTCTTTGCTCACAAGAAGGCCCAGGAGGAGAAGGAGGAGGAGTGACATGACAGGGGCTGCCCTGCTCCGTTCCTTGCTACAAACTCTCACTCGCTCAAGCTGCGCCATGCTCCAGCCAATCGCACCTGCCTGCAAGGAAGAGCAGCAGGGGCGGCTAGGCTGAGGGGCAGAAGAGCCCTCCCTCGGTTAGCCCATGGACATTTCCTTTGGCACACCCGTGGCTCAGAGGACTCTCTGGCGGGTAGAAATAGTGGGAGACGATCCCCCTCCGGCTTGGGCTCTGCCGGGGTAGGGCAGATCCTGTCGCCCGGCGAGTGCTCCTACACTTGGTTGCATGAAGAATGCAGCTGAGTTCCCTTCTCCAGCGGCTTAGGCAAAGGAGACAAGGAGTTTGAGCCCAAAGGGGAATCTTCCCAGCTAGCAAAGCAGGCACAAAACCCACCCCCCCAAGCCAGGGTGGACCCACCACTCAGCCCAGGCCAGCTGACATCGGAAAGACAACGGGGCATTGCAACTCTTCGCAGCCCGCGGGGGCTCGTCAATAAAGTTTGCAGCGTGGTTGGCTAGGTTCTTTCCCCCTCTTCGGCTGCACTGTCAAGTTAAAACCTCCCTCTGCTCGGGATGCTGTTTTCAGAGGGCCCACGGCCGGTCCCTCAGCCCCGACTGCTCCCTCCCTTGTAAGCTTCTTGGGGCTTCCCCCGCACTTTGGGTGGAGCAGTGGGAACCCTCTGAGAACCCCCCCCCCCCCCCCCCCACACACAC